AAACTCAAAAAAGCCTATGAAAAAGGTACCAAGGGCATCTCATGGGGCCCCCTACTGACCCCGGGCCCTCGGGCAGTGCCCGAGTTTCCAAATGGTCAGTCCACCCTTGGTGGCTACTCTTCCTAGAAGTGGACATCCAGCCAAGATGGCTCCAAAGGCACAATGCATAATCCTCAGTTAGGTAAAGAAGAACCCATGAGTAACAGCTAAAGACCTAAAGACATCCCTGTTCATGAGTCCATACGTAAATCTTTGAACAGACAGGGTGTCTATGGCAGAACATCACCTAGGAAGCCGCTGTTCTCCACAAACACTTTTCTGCCTGCCTGAAGCTTGCCAAAAAGCACCTTGGCAAACTGATACTGAAAAAAGTTTTGTGGACTGATGAAGTAAAAGTTTAATTGTTCAGGAAGAATACTCAGCGCTATGTATGGAGCAAAAAGGGCACAGCTTGCCAATATCAAAACATCATCCCACCAGTGAAGTGTGGTGCAGGAAACATCACGATTCAAGCTTGCTTTGCTGCCTCAGGGCCTAAACCACTTTCCATCTTTGCGAGGAAAATTAATTTCCAAATTTACCAAAATATCCTACAGAGTAATGTCTATGTGGTTGTCTGGCAGCTGAAGCTTAGTAGAAGTTGGATGATGCAGCAGGACAATGACCCGAAGCATTGAAGTAAATCCACCACAGACTGGTTTCAGAAAAAGAAAATGCACCTTTTAGAGTGGCCCAGTCAGAGCCCAAGTCTTACCCCCATAGAGATACTTTGGAATGATCTCAAGAGATCTGTTCACACCAGACATCCTACAAATGTGTTTCAGCTGAAGCAGTTTTGTAAAAGAGGAATTGCCGAAAATTCCTGTGAAGGTCTGATCCAGAGCTACCAAAAGTGTTTGTTTGAAGTCATTGCTGTCAGTGGACCAGTTATTTAAGCCAGGGATTCACTTACTTTTTCCTCCAGCACTGTGACTGTTTAATGGGAGTGTTACATAAAGACAAGATAGATTAGAATTGTTTGTGTGTTATCAGCTATAAGCACACTGTGTTAATCTATTGTTTTGACTTACATGAGAATCAAATTATTGCAGAAATCCAGTTAATGCTAAGGGGTTCACATACTTTTTTTTGCCATTGTACATAATATATGGACAAGAAGTAACATGTAAAGTACAAGGGAGGAAAATGAAATGTAAAAAAAAGGCTTGAATTACATTGCAGTCCTTTTTTACAATACGTATCAAGTATATAACCCAATCAATGGGGGTGGAGGCGTGATTACCGTGCACGTGTGGTTTCATGTGTTATAGAATGCATTTTTTTTGTGTCTTGTAGTGAATTCTTTTAAATGCATTTTTCAACAGACATCACTTTTTCTTTAACCTTACATGTGCTAAAATGCTAACTATGATAAAATACTGCCTGCCTCTTTTTTTTTTTTTTTTAATTGTTTATTTAATGGAATGCATTCTGCTTCATTTTTATATAGTACATTGGTGTGAACTGACATAATAAAGAATAAGGATTTTTGTCTTATCCTTGTGTATATTTATTTATTTATTTCAGGTACTTACATAGTGCCGTCAATTTACGCAGCGCTTTTACATATATGTTATACATTCACATCAGTCCCTAACCCTCAAGGGGCGTACAATCTAAGGTCCCTGACCCACATTCGTACGTACACATACTAGGGCCAATTTTAGACTGGACCCAATTAACCTAGACTGCATTGACCAATTTATCGCAATCATAAGGTGTGAACATACAAGAAAATTTCATATACATTTTAACATGTTAATATTAATCAAAAGTCATTTTTAATATTTTTAAATCTGCAACTTTCAATAAAATAATACCTGGTGACCATTTCAAGAAGCTCCTTGCTCAGGCACGTTTTGTTAAAGGGTGACAACCCTCTGTGTTCTTGTTCTCTGGGTTGTCACACTATCACATGTATTTGCCATGGAGACTACAGGTGTCTGTTTCAACATACATTATGCAGGCATATAAATATACAGTATATGTGAGCACACTAAAAGATGATAAAAAGTATTAAAAAGTAAAAACTGATAGTAGCTGTGCACGAAGGTAACCAAAATAAAACCTTTCAAATGACAAAGTATAAATGTGCAGCGCTTAGAAATCATAATAATGGATATGTGCAAAATTTGATATTGGTAATTCCAAAAAATTCATATATGTAATTAAATAATAAATAATAAATATGTGCTAAAATTCATATACAATATGGGTAAAAAAGTAAATCAATATAGATAATAAATAGATTGTAATGGTAATTAAATAGTGAGCTGCACCCACCTATCCCCTAAGGGGAACTCTGGATGCACCTGGATCATCATTTAAAGCCCCGGGACCTATCCATCCTGAGAGGGAGCCACTTCCACTACTGGCCCAGATGACTACCTTGATTCCACTACTGGCCCAGATGACTACCTTGATTCCACTACTGGCCCAGATGACTACCTTGATTCCACTACTGGCCCAGATGACTACCTTGATTCCACTACTGGCCCAGATGACTACCTTGATTCCACTACTGGCCCAGATGACTACCCTGATTTTACTACTGGCCCAGATGATTACCTTGATTCCACTACTGGCCCAGATGACTACCTTGATTCCACTACTGGCCCAGATGACTACCCTGATTCCACTACTGGCCCAGATGACTACCTTGATTCAACTACTGGCCCAGATGACTACCTTGATTCCACTACTGGCCCAGATGACTACCCTGATTTCACTACTGGCCCAGGTGACTACCTTGATGACACCAGGATATATTATATAACACGCATTAATTAAATAGTGAGCTGCACCCACCTATCCCCTAAGGCAGGGGTCTGCAACCTTTAAGACATAAAGAGCCACTTGGACCCGTTTCCGAGAGGGAAAAAAAGACTGGGAGCCGCAAAACCATTGCAACATTTAAAACAAATCCGACACTGCATATATTGCAAAAAGCGCTCTGGTCATGAAGGGGGTTTAAGGGCCCAGTAAGCAAAGGGTTAATCAGGGCCACAGTGTATCGTCATAATCACAATCATAGCCTTAGGTCAGTGGTGGGCAACCTTTTTTTTCAATTGAGCCAAATCTCGCCAAAACCACGACTGAAATTTATTTTGAGAGCCACATTTTTAAAACTGAAAATACATCCCCCATATAGTAATTCATCCCCCATAGTAATTCATCCCCTCTATAGTAATTCATCCCCCATAGTAATTCATCCCCCATATAGTAATTCATCCCCCATAGTAATTCATCCCCTCTATAGTAATTCATCCCCCGTATAGTAATTCATCCCCCATAGTAATTCATCCCCCATATAGTAATTCATCCCCCATAGTAATTCATCCCCCATATAGTAATTCATCCCCCATATAGTAATTCATCCCCCATAGTAATTCATCCCCCACATAGTAATTCATCCCCCATAGTAATTAATCCCCCATATAGTAATTCATCCCCCCTATAGTAATTCATCCCCCCTATAGTAATTCATTCCCCATATTGTGTCAATTCACTTACCTTTGCTCCGTGCGTTCTCTCGCCGTGTTCCCGCGCCGTTTCGGTCTTCAGGGCGGACTGTGAGAGGAGAGGAGTTCGTCACGCTTCCCCACCTACATCCTGACAGCCAAGTTTGCCACGCTCCGCGGGCCGGATTAAAAGGTCCGCCGGGCCGTAGTTTGCCCATTGCTGGGCTAGCTGCAGAGTCCTGACTTTTGGGGCGGCCGCCCGAGAGGAGGGAGGGGAGCGGGCGCCCGGCACACAGAAGAGCCGCAGCAAAGGTGAAAAAGAGCCGCATGCGGCTCTGGAGCCGCGGGTTGCCGACACCCGCCCTAAGGGGAACTCTGGACACACCTGGATCATCATTTAAAGCCCCGGGACCTATCCATCGTGAGAGGGAGCCACTTCCACTACAGGCCCAGATGATTACCTTGATTCCACTACTGGCCCAGATGACTACCTTGATTCCACTACTGGCCCAGATGACTACCTTGATTTCACTACTGGCCCAGATGACTACCTTGATTCCACTACTGGCCCAGATGACTACCCTGATTCCACTACTGGCCCAGATGACTACCCTGATTCCACTACTGGCCCAGGTGACTACCTTGATTCCACTACTGGCCCAGATGACTACCCTGATTTTACTACTGGCCCAGATGACTACCTTGATGACACCAGGATATATTATATAACGCGCATATACATTGCGCGTCCGTTGAGTGCGCATTTCTTCTATTGCAAAACGAGCACAAGCACCGACTGAAGACTTAGCACTATATGGGCAATATTTAGTTACCATCATGAACTATTTATTATCTATATTGATTTACTTTATTACCCATATTGTATATGAATTTTTGCACATATTTATTATTTATTATCTAATTACCTATATGAATTTTTTGGTATTACTCATATCAAATTATACAGGCATGGTCCACTGTTACCACCATCACCCTACAAATGCCATGCAGCCATCACCGGAGTGCATACAGGCAGAATGTGGCTGTAAAGAGGCTGCAGGAGATCAGCAACACTGAGATGCAAAAAAACGTGAAAAAAGGGTGAAACAAGCATTTTATTTTATTTTTTTTTTTTTTAATGGTAGCGATTTATGATATACAGGGCTTTAGCAAACTGTCTTTGAGTTATGGGGTTTCTATTTACTTTAAAGCTGAGTAAATCAGTGGGTATGTGTTTACTTACACACTGCCAAAGTAGCGTACAATCAGGCAACACTTCCCCTTTAGAAGGGAAAGTCTTCGTTGAAAATAGGAAGTGGAAGATATGTATCATACTGACACCGCTTTGCAAGCATTGCCAAAAAAAGGCAGGCGGTTTGGATGTGTGCAGGGGCTTGCTGGCACTTGTCAGTAAAGGGTTAAACCTGCCTCTATGTACATCCGCACAGGACATGTTCCAGCACGGAGCCGCTCAATTCATTTTAGTGATCTGAAAGGATAACTAACCTGTTTTCTCGATGTGGCGTCTGCATCCGTCTCCCCAGCTGCAGCGTGCTGTGCTGGATTGAAGTCTCTCGCTGCGGCTCCGCACACGATGTGGCGGCGATACTGATGCCAGTGTATACCCTGGGTGACAGCTCCAGCCGCTGATCCGCCAGGCGGTATTATTGGAGGAGATGCTGCGTCTTGCCTTGTTCTTAGGAATGCATAGCCTGAGGGGGAGCAAAAAAACACAGAGAAACCTGAACAGAGGTTTCTGATCTCAACTTGTGTCGTAATGGGAAGCCTTGTGCCAGATGAGGAGGATTTGGAGGCTAGTGGTGAAGAGAGGAAGCAAAATCCGAATTGTGTGTGTGTGTGACAGAACTGCTGTCTGCGGCTGGCTCAGAACATCACAGTGCTGGGACGCCACAATTTAAAGACCTCCGCTAATCTAGGCTTACTCCGTAGGGAAAGTCCCCAATGTAACCCACAAAAACACATCAGCAATCATCTCTGAGTGTAGCAAGCCTTTCAGAAGGCGGCTGGAGGGGAAGATTCAGTAGGCTGTATTGTTTTAGCCTCCCTCCTCCGGCCTGTGCTGCCATCTCTCTCATGGCGGGGAATGCAAAAAGAGAAGCAGTTAAAACAGTATTAAACCCAAAAGCAAACATTTAACCACTTCCTGTCCGGACACTTTTACCCCCCTTCCTGTCCAGGGCAATTTTCAGCTTTCAGCGCTATCACACTTTGAATGACAATTGCGCGGTCATGCAATACTGTACCCATATGAATTTTTTACCATTTTTTTGAGACAGATAAAGCTTTATTTTGGTGGTATTTATTCACCGCTGGGATTTTTATTTTTTTTACTATGTAAATGAAAAGGTCTAAACATTTTGAAAAAAAGTGTTTTTTTTAATAAAATTTTGCAAATAAATAATATTTCATCATAAATCTTGGACAAAATTTATTCCGTTATTTTTTTAGTAAAAAAAAAAAAAATCCAAATTAGTTATAACCAAAAATTATAAATTTTTAAACTTTTTTTTTTACATTTTTATTTTATTTTTTTATATTATTATTTTTTATTTTTTTTATACATACTGTCACCCTAGCAGTACAGTGTCCCCTGCCCATATGATTTTTTTAGTATTAATTTGAGACAGATAAAGCTTTATTTTGGTGGTATTTATTCACCCCCTTCCTGTCCAGGCCAATTTTCAGCTTTCAGTGTTATCACACTTTGAATGACAATTGCACGGTCATGCAACACTGTACCCATATGAATTTTTTAGCATTTTTTTGAGACAGATAAAGCTTTATTTTGGTGATTTTTTGCTATATAGATTAAAACGTCCAAAAATTTGGAAAAAAAATTGTTTTCTTATAATATTTTGCAAATAAATAATATTTCATCATAAATCTTGGCCAAAATTTATTCAGTTATCTTTTTAGTAAAAAATAATACCCCAAATTAGTTTATAACCAACAATTATAATTTAAAAAAAAAAGTTTTAGTTTTTTTTTTTTTTTTTTTTTTTTACACATACGGTCACCCTAGCAGTACAGTGTCACCATGGTGACACTGTACTACTGTACTACTTGTGGGGGGTGATGAAGATTTTTTTTTTTTTTTTTTTACACTGATTGCTTTTACACCCATATAGGATGTAAAAGCAATCATTTCTCTTTCTCTCTGTCTGCATCCTTGCAGTCATTGAGAAGTACTGAGTGAGCTGTGATTGGTCACAGCTTGTCACATGGTACAAGGCTGTTGTGAATAGCCTTGTACCATGTGACCTCTGTGATCATTCACAGATTTTACATGTAGTAAGCAATGATGTCACAAGTGACATCTTGCTTACTACTTTGCATGTGATCACTGATTGGCCAATCAGTGATCACATGATCGGGACCTCGTACAGAGGTCCCGTCCGACGATCGGTCGTTGCACTGTGTCCGGAGGACACAGCGGGCACTGGATCGTGGTGGTGCGCGCTCCCAGGGAGCGCGCACAGCTAGAAAAGGCGGGTGCCGTTTAGGAACGGCAACCCGCCCCTGGACTGCCACCGCCCTGCCGTTTATAAACAGCAGGCGGACGGCAAGAGGTTAATATACAGTATTGCAGCTTACCAATTCTTAGATGTGAAGGCTGCATTCATTTCCTTTATTTTTGCTTGCTTTCTTCCATTTTCATCTGGTGATCTAGCCAGTAAGTCTGTTGCTTTACAACAGAACAAGCTCTCTTGCAGTCTACAGGGATAAGACAGACCATTTAACACTTGAAGGGATGGACGCTGCACAACTGATTGCAGGAGTCCAATGTTGAGGGACAGTGCATGGCCAGAACACTTGAACTCATGCTCCCCTCTTCTCACTTGCCGGTGGGGTGATCCTTTCCCTTCCATCCATAGCTTGGAGCGGCGCCATAATGTATACTTTTCACTAAGACCTTTTAACACTGACAGGGGTTAAATCAGCTTTTATTTAACCACTTCAAGTCCAGATACTTTTACCCCTTTCCTGTCCAGGCCAATTTTCAGCTTTCAGTGCTATCCAGTGGTGGACTGACAACTCATGGGGCCCCCGGGCAATAGGGGATCATGGGGCCCGTGTCCTTGCCCAAACTCAAAAAAGCCTATGAAAAAGGTACCAGGGGCAGCTCATGGGGCCCCCTACTGCCCCAGGCCCTCGGGCAGTGCCCGAGTTTCCAAATGGTCAGTCCGCCCCTGGTGCTATCACACTTTGAATGACAATTGTGCGGTCATGCAACACTGTACCCATATGCAGTGGTGTATTTAGGTTTTGTGCTGCACTAGGCAACACAAAAATTGGCGCCCCCCCCCCGTAGAAAGAGCCTGACATTCACCAACACCCCTGCCTCCCACCTGAGAGAGCCTTGAAAGACACTTACCTTCACAGATCTGGGCATTCCCGGGAACGAGAGTCGGGCTGTGCATACACTGTCATGAAACACGCAGCCTCTCTCAGAACCCACCAGGTCCCCATGCCGCGTGTGTCCCTTCTTCCATCCCTTCTTCTAAGGGGCAGTGCTGCCCCCCGATAAAAAATGCTGCCCTAGGCAAAAGTCTTGTTTGCCTTGTGGCAAATACACCCCTGCCCATATGTTTTTTTTTGTATTTTTTTGAGACAGATAAAGCTTTATTTTGGTGGTATTTATTCACCCCCTTCCTGTCCAGGCCAATTTTCAGCTTTCAGCATTATCACACTTTGAATGACAATTGCGCGATCATGCAACACTGTACCCATATGAATTTTTTTAGCATTTTTTTTGAGACAGATAAAGCTTTATTTTGGTGGTATTTATTCACCACTAGAATTTTTATTTTTTTTGCTATATAGATTAAAATGTCCAAAAATTTAGAAAAAAAAGTGTTTTTCTTATAATATTTTGCAAATAAATACTATTTCATCATAAATCTTGGCCAAAATTTATTCAGTTATCTTTTTAGTAAAAAATAATACACCAAATTAGTTTATAACCAACAATTATAATTTAAAAAAAATGTTTTACTTTTTTTTTCTACATACAGTCACCCTAGCAGTACAGTGTCCCCATGGTGACACTGTAGTACTTAAGGGGGGTGATGAAGATTTTTTTTGTTTTTTTTTTTTTACACTGATTGCTTTTACACCCATAAAGGATGTAAAAGCAATAATTTCTCCTTCTCTCTGGATGCATTCTTGCAGCCATTGAGAAATACTGTGACAGCTGTGATTGGTCACAGCTTGTCACATGGTACAAGGCTGTTGTGTGAATAGCCTTGTACCATGTGACCTCTGTGATCATTCACAGGTTTCACACGTAGTAAGCAATGATGTGACATCAGAAGTGACATCTTGCTTACTACTCTGCATGTGATCACTGATTGGCCAATCAGTGATCACATGATTGGGACCTCGCACAGAGGTCCCATACGACGATCGGTGTTCCAGGGGACACAACGGGCACCGGATCGCGGTGCTGCGCGCTCCCAGGGAGCGCGAACAAGCAGGGGGCGGGGAGGCCGTTTATAAACGGTCACCCACCCCTGCACTGCCACCTTCCGGCCATTTATATACAACGGCTGGACGGGAAGTGGTTAATCATGTAAAACCTTTATCCAAAAGGGAAAATAAAAGTTTGCTGTAACTGATTATAACGTATTAGCTGGAGTTTGGCTGCAATTTTTTAATGCATTTAAATCTTCAAGTATTTCTAATACTCCCCTCCTCCAGACTGTCAATGCTGCTGTCCAAATGTGCCCTCTGTGCTGCTTCATCCAGAGTGGTGTCTGTATAATACAGGATGTGTGTTACAGGCAAGATCACTAGAGGGAAAAAAATCTGAAACAGAAAACTAATACAGCCACCACATTTATGTTAGGTAATTTGCAATAGATTATAGAAATTATATTTTTGGTTTTGCATTTAATACCACTTTCATTTGTGTCTTATATGTCTGTCTTTCTAGAGTTCAGCTTTAGAATGATATTAATATCAAGAAAGTGGTATTAAATCCAAAACCAAAATTTCCGGAAATTATTGCAGCTTACCTAACATTAGATGTGGTGGCTGTATTCGCTTTCTTTGTTTTATTTATTTATTTCAGGTACTTATATAGCACCGTCAATTTACGCAGTGCTTTACATATATATTGTACATTCACATCAGTCCCTAACCCTCAAGGGGCGTACAATCTAAGGTCCCTAACTCACATTCAGCACATCTTTGGAGTGTGAGAGGAAACCGGAGTACCCGGAGGAAACCCATGCAGGCACAGGGAGAACATGCAAACTCCAGGCAGGTGGTGCCGTGGTTGGGATTCAAACCAATGGCCCTAGTAGTGACCAATGCCAGGTGGAAGTGCTAACCATTTAGCCACTGTTTTAGTTTTTTTTCCTCTGTTATCACCTGGTGAACTGACCAGTAACACACCCCCTGTATTAGTGTCCCCACTCTACATGAAGGAGCAACAGAGACACCTTTGGAGGGCAGCATTGTCAGTCTAGGGGGGGAATGTTAGCTTCACTAGCAGATTTAGATAGGCTAAGCAATTTGAAGCCAAACTCCAGATAACATCTTTTAAGCAGTTAGAGCAACAGTTAATTTTTTTTGTGATAAAGGATTTTACATATATAAAAGCTGATCATTGTAAGCACCCGTCAGTGGTACATGGTTTGCCTAAACCCTCTAACTGCTATATCTGATCTTTTGGGGGGGAAAAAAA